ATTATTTGTTACCGAAGTGCCAATACACGTTTCTTATGAAGTTGAAAATAATAAGATGATACTATAGAAGATGTACCAAGATAATTATATTAGTGAGATTGCAATAAACAAATGGCGTCAAAATAGTGGCAAATGTATAACAATAAGAGATTGCTTACTATTACTTCTACTCTAAAAAGCGACTTTTAAAGTGATCTAGAAAAGGGCTTAGTAATAAAGGTATATACCGTTTGAGAAAAAAAGTAAAAGTTGGTAATATTTTGATAAAAAATGTTTGTTGTATATTAGAAAAAGGGCAGGTTAAATGACTCTTCCACCGCTTCCGACTTTAGCTTTTGAATATTTAATTTAGTGAATGTTTGGTAGCATAAGCTTTTACCTTCTAGCTTTTATACTACTTAAAAAGTCTGTAAAAGCTTCTAGTTGTATGTTTGGGATGATAATTTTTAAGAGCTTTCACAAAATAAAACATCTTTTTTAGAAGCTACAACATGTAGCATCTGAGAGAAAGTCTGTAACTTTTATCATTAATTAGTCACAACAGCTTGTTATACCAAACAAAACTAAATCAAATAGTCAAGCTTTTTATCAAACAACGACAACCTTTTCCTTTCAAGATCTTTTCATTTATTAAAAGCTAACAGTTACTAAAAAGTTCACAATAATATCTTTTCAAGTAGTGTCAAACATTCCCTTAAGCAGAAATTGTCACTTGAAAACACTCATTTCAACTTTTTTTTAATTCAAAAGAAAAAAACATTCTCTTAAAAAGTTGTTGCAAATACTCCCTAAGGGTATGTTTGACACAACTAGCTGAAAAGATACTTTTGTGAGTTTTTTAGTAAATGTTGGATTTTAGTGACCGAAAAAATCTTAAAAGGAAAAGGTGGTAGCTGTTGGGTAAAAATTTGACTGTTTCATTTAGTTCTGTTTGGTATGCAAGCTTTTAAGACTAATCTAAAAAAAGATCTTTTATTTTTTGAAAAGCTCTTAAACATTCTCATGTCAAACAAACAACCAGAAGCTTTTAGAATCTTTTTGAATAGTACAAAAGCTGGAAGACAGAGACTTATGCCTGCCAAACATGTATTAAGTGAATGCGGTGATCGACATTTTATCGGTACTTTTATTATTGAAAGATCAATATATACTGAATAAATATAATTGAGCAAATTTAGAAGGTGAGCAAATTTAGAAGGGCAAAAATGGAGTATGCACTATGTTGTAGCCTTATTTAAGAATCGGAATATAGAGTTTTAAATTTGAGTAATGTTTTATGTGCTCATAAAATAATATTATTTGTATTTTGCAGTAAGTTCCGTTATTATAATTATAATCTTATTATTATTATTGCTAAGTTTGTACCCCGCCCTTTCCACATTATATTTTATTATTGAAGCTTCTGCTATCTTATAAATACCCCAACAAAGAGATACGTTTTCTCTTATATATCAGAGCTTGTATAGTACCTCCACCTTCCATCTATCTACAATAATTATTAATTATTAATTATTAATAATCGCAAATCAACTTCGATGATGGAGTTCTTTGAGGGCAAAACTATTTTGGTCACGGGCGCGACTGGATTCCTTGCCAAAGGTTCTTTACTCTATCGGAGATGCATGCATTTTGTTCATAAAATTATTGGGGGATTATTATGTTGTGATGTGATTGATTATTATTTGAAGTTCTATATTTCATACTCCGTATTTAAATAATTTTTCGCCGATAGATGGATCAAAATTTGGGAGGGACAGAGAAGGGGATGTGAGAAAGATGAGTTTATAGAGATGAGGGTAGAAAATTAATTTTACAAATTTAAAATATGGGATCCAACTTTTACTCTTTGCTATTGTTTGACTTATGTTTGGGGTAATTTCACACAGGACACGTACACACATCCATATATAAGGTGTGTATCAAATATAAATGCCTCTAATAAACGTGTGAGCCGGGGCTTAAAGAATTTACGTTGTGGGAGCCGAGACCCTCTTTGGAGCACTACCAAGCACTTTTCAATTCACGAGTGTACTTTTTCATGTGTGTTAAAAAGTTCGCTTATTTAAAAAGTGTATTGCGTACAACCACTTTAAGTGCAGTAGCTTATCCTCTGAGTGCATTAGTGGCGATTATAGGTACATTTCAAATTTCCACATGTTAATAACATTTTTTCACCTAATCCCCTCTCTCTCTACATATATATGAGGGAGAAAAAATTGAAATGAACAATAAGTAATGGAATAAGTAATTGAATTGAAAAAAATAAATCTTAATTTAATATATGAGTTAATAACCATAACTTAATGTACAATAAATGGAGTTTATGTTGTACACATGACCTAATAATTGATGCACAAAGACTGAAAAGATTTTTAAAAATATGAAATTAATTTGGTTGATAATATCAATTAAGTGTAATGGAAAATTGGTAATAAGTAATTTTGTTCATTAATTGCTTCATACGTGGGTTGACTAAACTTACGTATACCATGGTGAAATAATGGCAAGGATATTACTCTTAGAGTTTTGATTGACAAATGTATAACTAGTTTCTAATTTTGACAAAAAAGTACTACGTATTCCATAAGTCCGTAACTAAACAAGGAAGGGGCTAGCCTAACCCTAACTCATTATTTTGAAAACCGGGTATCCCCTCCCCTCTATATGGACCGTATATACGCCGCCGCACTTATTCCATCTCTAATCCCTCGCCATCTTCTCCGATCCTCACTGTCATCTTCACCGCCTAGTTTCACAGCCAACAATCTCGCACAGCCGCCTAGTACCGCAATGAAGCTCCGCCTAGCTCTGTCACAATCGACGGCCGTCATCGCAATTGCTGCTTCACCCGCCCGCCACAACCACAACAACACTGTTCTTCTTTTTCTTTTTTCATATATTCATGGCCGTCGTTTCTAGCGGTTGGGGTATGTGGCGAAGGCAGAGTACGCTGCTAGCTATGATTGTTGAACGATTTCAAGGAAGCGGTTGTGTCCGGGAAAGACGTGTTACCGTCCATCTCTTCTCCTTTATTTTTGTTCGAGCGCCACGCTTATGGTAACTGGCCGACGGACAAGGTTCAGATCGATCTGGTGCAACCGATCTGAGGGTGCAGGGGGCAGGGAGGTCTGGTGTTGGGTGGAGGGCAGAGGACATGTTCTGGGATTGGGGAGGAGGTAGGTGCGTCGGCAGAAATAGATGGCTAGTGCCTAGCGGCAACGCAGTCACTGAAAACGGTGGTCACTGAGGGCTAGCGGCAACGGCAGTCACTGAAAACGGTGGTCACTGAGGGCTAGCGGCAGTCACTGAAAATGGTGGTCACTGCATGATAGTCACTGCACAGTATGTAGTGACTGGAATTGGTGGAAGGGTTTACCGTACGGTAGTTGTCACTGAACGTGGTCGGTTGTAGAGTCATTGGACGAGTTAGCAGCCAACCCAGTCACTGTAATAGGTTGGGGTAGGTTTCAGAATCATCCGACAAAGGCGATGACGTGTGTGGCGGATGTGTGCCGGTAGTGACGGTGGTGGTGCGGTGGCAATGCTGCCGGCAGTGAGAGGCTGGGGTGGTGGCCGGATGGCTGAGAACAATTCATTGCTTTTCAATTAATGATAATAAATAGAATACAAAAATTGTAATACACCGTATTGAACAAAGTACAGAAAAGAAAAGGTATGTTGAGTCACAATTTTGGTAAACTTGAAACTAGCTCACATTGTTGTCTTTCTTATTTTAGTAATACAAAAACTGTTTTGCACTGTTTGACACTGTTTTGATGTAGGATAACTTTCCATTTAGGGAAAGGAGAACTTCTTTTTGGGACATCCAAATAAGGAAAGCGGGAACATCTTTGCGGGACGGAGGGAGTATGTAATATTTTTGTAACATTTTCATAGTTAAATTAGATTCGCCCCCCTTAACTTTTAGTTTTTAAAATTAATATATTGGCTTACATAATGCAATACTTAATTAATTGAGATTAAAAACAAAAAACATCTAATTTTTTAACTTAAATAAAACAATAGAACAACTCATTGTTTAAGATTTAGGATACTTATTATTAAATAAAAAATCTCAGTTTTTTAATGTTTAATTATTGATCGGTCTTTATTATATATCTAGTAAACGATTTTGTAAAATATATATATCAAACAATATTAAATACCAGACACACTAGTTACAAAAATCATTTATTTCTTACGTTCTAAAAAGAATTGATTGCATAGATAAATAATTTTAATTATTTTAGCATCAATTCAAATATAATATGTACTATATATATGAATTAGCAATGTAATATTATTCTAAAAATAATAATCTCATACATACTATTGTAATATTAAAAAATGTCCTTGCGACTCGTGAACACCCCCTTGATAGACAAAAAATATAATTCAAAAACCATTTCTTTATATTTCTATAAGATTCATGTAGTTAAACAATGTTGAAGTTATTTTAAAAGTATTGGTGAATGTGTACCTTATAAACTCTTTATCTTTAAATAAATGCTATATATCCTTTTTTGTTTTTAAATTATTTCCTTTGATTTACTATTTCTTATGCTTTGATGTATCAATACATTTTTCTAGAGCACTCAAATTATAAAATTTGTCATTGTCTATACTTAGAATGTAATATATAATTTTAAATGAGGTCGTGTATGTATTAATGAAATATTTTTGAATAAAAATAACCGCAGAGCCTTACACTATTAAAAAAAATCACCCCGCTACACTAGCAAAATACATTTCGCTCCGCTACACTAATGATATTTTTTTTACCTTCAACACTAACGAAAATTTTCGCCCCCTAACTCAAAAGCATGGTTAGGTGTATAAATTTAGGTGTTGCATGTTGTCCACAAAAATTGTACTCCGTAAGTCTCATTGTCACTACATTCACTAACATTATCAATTTTTTGTTAACTTAATTCAACATCTAAATTATCATTTGAAGAACTTCCTATATTAACAAATCTATCCATAACTTCTTTTTGTGAATTTTTTTATCATTAAAACATGCCTCAACTCTATTCATATCAAAAGATTCAGGATCATGACATCAAACAAAGAGAAAATAAACCTGACACCAACTAAACTCCAACAACTACGGCTGTAAACTCTATGATCAGACTTTGAGACGGTCACCCTGAAAGAGCAACACAAATCGCTAACCATGTATTGGGCTTGGCACAGCCAAACCTGTTCCCATAGATCCAACCATACCCAATGACATAAAGAGAGAATAAAAACTCAAACAAACTGTCAAAACCCACAACATAGATGGACACGCGAAAACAAATGACAAACAGATAAAAATTACTAGAAAAACTTTCACGGACTCTAGCACCTCGTACAACCCATGGTGGTGGTTCAGGAGGAGGTCGTATCACCGGTACCATGCTAATTGATCCTCCATTGTTGAACGCAATTTGGCCAACTCGAAGTCCATGCAACACTCCTCGTCCCGCACTCGTAGCTACATCACCCCTCACGGCCATGATCTTGTCTGTCGACCCCTCCAATCAGCAAGGAAGAAAATTGCTTCCCTGCTCTCACCCGACCTCACGATCAGAAATCAACACCGGAGTAACAACGAAACCTTGCTCGACTCCACCAAACAGCGGAAGCGGACTTCTGTGGATGAAGATTGCTGAGGAGAAAACCAGCCCTTCTTCGTATAACCGAAGACGGAAAAAAACTCTAAGGGCTGCGAAACCCTAGAGAGAAGTCCCTGTAAAATTTTTAAAAGTAAGGTCTCTGATTGTTAAAATTTCTTTTTGAGAATTTATTAACTCCTCCATTAACTTTTTTTTTTGTTTTTTTCCGCACAAATATTTCTTTGGAGCATTTTATATACGTTGAAATATTATAAGAAAATTAAAGAGTGAAAGCCAATCTGGAGAATCGGAAATTAAGACAGAAGTGCAAGAGTCACAAAAGAAATCTAAAAATCTACTGATACCAAAGCCTGCAATATACTCCGTATATACTTCAAAAGTTAAAACTAATAAAATACCTGTTAGTTCTAGCAATCAAACAGAATGGATTAATTGTAGCAGTAGAAAAAATACAACAAAGGCGGAATGATCGATCTGAAATAGATAATCGCAGACACGAAACCAATATACTTCCTTGTTAATTAATTCTAAATTTCCACTCACGTGATCAAGGAAGGTAGAACGCAATCGACTCCTAGCAGATGGGTACAAGGTTTTAAATAGCCGTAGCGGCAGCGGTAGCGGTCATCGCAATAGAGGCCTGTAGCGGCCTGTAGCCGACTGTAGCGGTTGCAGCGGCGTGAAATTCAATTACGCAAAACATATATTTAATGAGTGTTAAAGTTAACAGAAATATTATGAATATTTGTTTGAACACTTATAACATTAACAGCTAATAATAATGCATATTTGCGTTTCATTTCCAATTTCATTTGCATAACCATAATAATATCGCTTCGGTTCCAAATTGTTTTGTTAAGTCAACATTTTTTTCATCAACCAATATTAAAGTTAAATCATCCTTATTAACAATTAATTCGGCTTTAATAATTGTAATTTACATATTTATTAATATTTGCTACCATAATGTATGTGGATAGATGTACATTTAATTTTGAGTTTCACTCCATGCATCACCATTAATGTATTTTTTCACATCATTCATACAACATTTATACATTTACACATCAAACAGTTCGTGATGAACTGCCAGAAATATCAATAGCGGGCTGTAGCGGGCGACGTATCAGATTTTTCCCGTGATTTGGAAATCACACATGAATAGCGGGCCGTAGCGGTAGCGGCCCCTACCGCGACCGCTATATAGCGGCCGCTATAGTGGTAGCGGGCCGCTATTTCAAACCATGGATGGGTATACAATATTATACAAAATACAAAAATATACTCAATTTACTTCCGTATATAAATTTATAGACATATAATAGTATACAAATTTATTGGCCCCTTATGCTTGGTGGGCTCAGGGCAGTGGCCCAGGCTGCCCATATACCTGGACCGGCCCTAACACAAATCACAATGATGGCCGGTCAAATAATTACCAAATTAGTTATCTATGTATGATTATATTACTAAAATACCTAAATCATAAATGATTAAACATTGTGTGGATGTAAGGAAATCAACGACTAGGATTTGTTCTCATTTCTCACGTTAAACATTGTTCTCATTTGAATCAAAATCTGCAACACACACATAGTATGAATTTGGATCAAATGAGAGCATTGATTAACCCGAGAACGTGAGAACACGACATTCACTCAAATATGATATGATGCACAATAAAGCTCGTATATTGCACTTTTTCACGTTGTATGTCATAATATTTATGAAAATGTCACTGTGTTTATTGAATAACTTAGTTTGAGCAAAGTGAAAAATGTGTAATAGAAGTGCTCCGTTATGCATCACATTGATTTAAAACGGAGTCTTCTCACGTTCTCACGTTAAGCATCGTTCTCATTGGAACCGCATCGTATATATAATACTAGTTCTATGACGCGCAATGCGCGATGGAAAAATGTTCAATGTTATTTTGACAAGGTTAACATAATATGAATGTTAATGCATGATTAATATATTTAATTAAGTTATGTGAAATTGCACACAAGATTAGTTTTGTGCATATTTTCCCACATAACGGATGATTAAAAAGGGGCGTGAGCATCTCTTTTCCCGTAAGCCTGGCAAGGATCGTTCCGGAACGCCCTATAAGAATGTAATATCAATAATGTGCTAATAAACAATCTATGAAAGGGTGGACAGGATGATTAGGTTTGTAGTGCCTAGCTAGAACATGTATGCCATTTTGATGTTTGAATCCAATAGCACTAAACATGTAGTAATAAGAGGCAAGTGCAATAACGAATGTGAATTATACATAGTGTCATAGGTAAAATTAATAATATCGCTGATTCAATAAGTTAATAATCCTCTCTGATAAGCATATGAAATAAAATATTGCAATGGCCGGATAGATATTACTTGGGGTCAAGTAGTTGGGGGTGACGGGGTGATGAGCAACATCTCCCATTAATAGCAATCTCATATTTGCACACTATTAAAGTATGCAAATATCGAAAGTATGCCTCTACAAATAATCATTTGTTATGCCTCTATAATAAGAAAAATTAACACATATTAAAGTATGATATATATCGAAAGTGGAGGAGCTAGGGGGCATGGGGGTACCCGCCCTCGCTTCTGGACAAAACAAAAATCTTCCCACTTTCCTTTTTCGTTGTTAACGAAAAAATCGTCCCATTTCTAAATCCTCTCATCATACCCTCAATAATTTTGAAAATAATACACTATTACAACTATTTTTTGTTGGATTTGTCCTTCATTCCATCACATTATTCCACTATCTTCCCATCATACTCTCAATAATTTATATTCTCTGTCACTATTCTTAATTTACCTACTTTTGAAATGGTAAGATTTATATATATATATATATATATATATATATATATATATATATATATATATATATATATAGGTTTTGGTTCAAATAAGAACACGATCTTATGAGAGAAATAAGAACGAATCTGGACCGTTAGATTTGCTTTAGTGTGCATTAGATGAAACTGTAATGTGCATTAGGTGAAATTGAAATGTGCATCACAAAGGGTACGATAGATTGGCATTATGTGCAATTGAATTGTGAATTACGTGAAATTGAAATGTGAACTAGGTGAAACTGAAATGTGCAGAATAAAAAGTACGATGTGATGTTATTTTGTACTTTTTTTTCGCACATATCAGTTTCATCTAATGCACACTTGAGTTTAACTTTTTATTTTGCACATTTCAATATCATTTAATGCACATTTCAGTTTCACCAAATGCACAATTTGGTTGCACATAATACAATCCAACAGTCCAGATTCGTTCTCATTTTTCTCCTAAGATCTGTTCTTACCGGAACCGCTCCCTAATATATATATATATATATATATATATATATATATATAGAGTAATGATCCGGTCAGGAGTTCCTGACCGAAACCGCCGTCCGAACCGCGGCGTTTGGCCGCCTTCCCGGTGACTTTTTTTGATGAAATTTTTATGACATGTTCTCCATCAAGTCTAGTTTATCCACAAAAAAGTTCAGCCAAAATCTCAATCGGGAAGGTCGTCAAATGATTTTTGCAAGTTAACTGGTCCGGAAAATACATATTCTGGACCAGTTAACTTGCAAAAATTATTTGACGACCTTCCCGATTGAGTTTTTGGCTGAATTGTTTTGTGGATAAACTAGACTTGATGGAGAACATGTGATAAAAATTTCATCAAAAAATTCCACCCGGAAGGCGGCCAAACGCCGCGGTCCGGACGGCGGTTCCAGTCAAGAACTCCTGACCTGAACATTTGTGTATATATATATATGACAAATAAGATGAATAATTAGATTAGAAATGACAAATTAAAATAATTAGAATAGCAAATGATTTTCGAAATTTTTGCATAAGGTAACATACATAATAAAAAATGAAAAATTCAATTAGAACATCAAATGGAAATCAAATCAATCTAAGTGCATAGAATAATTAAAATGTGAAGGCATCATGTTGAAAACTCAAAAATTGGAAACGTTGGAGTTAATAGAACTAAGGGGGAGATTTAAATTTAATGATGAATGGTACAATGACTAAAACAAATTGTAGAAGTGTAAATTGCTTTAGTAGTGTTACACCAACACTTTTATCCATGGGCGGAGCTAGGGGTGGGCCAACCTAGGCCATGACCCATCCCAAATTTTAAAAAGGGGTTAATTTTTAAAGTAAAAAATTTCGTGTAATTTTCTTTGTAAAAATATTCCTTGTATCGGCGTAGTGCCCTGGCTCCGCCCCTGCTTTTATCATTCATAAAATGCCTTAATCATCATTGGTGCTTATAAGTTTTTAGACTATAATAAAAATCCATATAGGGTTCTTAGTTACGTACAAATTAAATATATAATGCATGTGGAATTGCAAATGCAGTGGTGGTCGAGAAGATCCTTCGAACTCAATCGGGTATAAAAAGAATCTTCCTACTAATAAGAGCGAAAGATTCTGCAACGGCTAAACAAAGATTCATTGATGAGGTATGTACGTACGGGTACAACCCAACCTTGATTTTATATTGTCCCCAATTAATTAATACAGTACTACTCTGCAAAAATAATTAGTTAGCTAAGTCCGACCTAGGAGGGTTTGGGGGAAAGTGCCACCGTTTTCCACTCTAGATTTTAGTATTAGTACTTCTCGTAATATCTAAGCCCCCTACTCAAATAAAAAATACTGTGTAATTATTACATAGAAGATAATTTAGTCAAAGATCATATAATAACTGTAATGAGAAATGTAAATGAGCATGAAGTTGTGATAGAATGATTCCTCGTAGTTAGACATGTTATTGACATTGCCATTGCACTTTCTATGAAAAATGGCATTAATAATCTTTTTACTAAGTATGAATTATTTTTATTCAAAGTTAGATGTAGGGATGACAATTTAAGCCGACCCGATAGATACCCGCATTGAACCGAAACCGGTCAAAATGGGGAAAACCCGTGTTGACCGGGGTAACAGGTACGGGACGGGGAATACCCGATTTATGTAAACAGGTAATGGGGCGGGTACGGTTTTATGCTTACCCGACCCGTTACTCGCCTCGTAACCGCCCCGTTTAGTTCGGGTACAATTACCCGCACCATTACCCGACCCGC